GGGATGTGAGAAGAGACCTGCTGGCTGTAACTGCGGGTCTTAGCTTTTCGTGGCTTAAAGCGGCGAAAGCAGCAGCCGAAGCTGATTTTAAGCACAGGAGGATTGGTTTGGCGAGAAGCAGGAAGGGATGCTATTTGCTTTATGGCGATTACGTAACACCTCGCTTGCTTCCCTCTCAGCGGAATGCCAAGGATACTGTTAGTAAACAGAAAAGCCATGTGCGTATCCTCACGTGGCAGAGGGATTTGAGTCGCTGCCCGGGCTGTCTCACCCCTGAGGTAAACCCTGACATCAATACACGCTCACAGGGCCAGCAACACTCCCTGCTGCCCACGAACTCCCAAAACAGGGCATTATCATTCTCGCCCCATATTTACGCTTTGGCTAAGCTAGCAGCGCAGGACATTATAGAAGAGGAAGAACATAGTGTATATTCATGAGTCATGTGGTGCGACAATTACAGGCTAGCCTTTAGTATCTGTTGTTATGGACAGAGTTAAAGACCTGCTGCATTGCTGCTGCTTTAAAAAGGTAGATTAATGCCAGGCAGAAGTTAAACCTTTTCTTAAATATGGGTTGGAGATATTTTGACATATCCTTAACCCTATGGTATATTAATGAAAATGCAGCGACTTGTATCTCTACGGAACAACAAGTATATTAGGTTATTTTTTTATTCTAAGGGTATATCTGAGGCACAGGGTGGTCAGAGAAAGCCTTTTTTTTTTCAGTTTAGTTTGTAGAGACTCAGACTGCCCTACATCTCTGCACTGTTTATGTTCAATTTTGTGCAAAGGTCTAAAGAGGAGAGATTGTAGTTTCCTGTTATTCTCTTGCTATCCATGGAAAACAAACCCTCCACTAGCAGACAACTGAGAAATCAATATTGCAGCAATCAATACAACTCTTTGTAATCGCCATTTTGTCTCACCATCTATAAGCAGTGCTTTTCAAAATGTCTAACCCTCCAAAACCAGGCATGTTTCTGTAGTTTGTGCTTTAACCACTGCCCCCTCCCCAGGAAGGAAAAATGATACGTGGGCTGGACGGAACAAGGTCAGAGGTGAGGGCTTGGGCAAAGGCTTGGGTATTGTAGGCAAACAGCATTGTTGTACTGCGCTATGGCAACTGGACATTCTTCCCCAAAGGTGATATTGTCTTTGCCCCAGGAGTGACTTAAATGGGGCTTACTGCCATGACGAAGAAGCTATCCAACCGCGCGGCTTTATCTGTAGGTGTGGATAGATGAGAGAAGCTCTGTGCATGTGATTGATCTATGTGGCCCTTCCCCCACTCAGCCCCCTGTAACCCTATTAATGGCGCTGCCCTCTCAGCTATTTATGTCAAAGCAGGCGTGCAGAGACCAATGAAAATTCCTGTTGTAAAAATTCCAGTTCAAATGTTTTTTAAGTCATGATTGGCATTTGTAAACTGCACGTTCAGTCCAGCTGAAAACCGGAAAATTACAATTACTGATGCTGCTGTTTTCCAACAATGTGGCAGATAAGAACCATTGTTGGACTCTTTGAAGAGACATCATCTGTAATATTGTTATAGGATAAGAGGGGAGCATTAATCTACTTAGTAAAAACATAGCCTGCTCTCTGGATTTGGTAAGATTCACCAAAAAGAACGTGCACAAGAGGAGCACTTGCTCACCGTTATACTTTTGTGGTATATGGTACATTTTTATTTTTTTTTTTTTTTGCTTTGATAGCAACAGTAAAGGATTTAAGAGGCAAAGGGCACATGAAGAGGAGAGGTAATACAATGTTATCAACTGCTCTCATAAAAGTTTAGAAACAATAAGCAGCTGACGCCGTTTTGAACTCAATGCCCTTTCCTCTTCTTCAAATCCAAGAGCATCTCAAAGATCTTTCATGGAAAACCGTACAAAATACAGATGGGAAGTACTCTGCTGCTCCCACAGAGAGCCTGTGCTGTTGGGTTACATTAAAGGTCATCCACCTTACAGACGTGTTTTTTGTTGTCTTTGTGACCTAAGGCTGAACTGCAGCTAAATTACGACTGCAAGCAGTAGAATACACAAGCCCAATATACAAACCCATTAGGAGACCATTTTTATTCAAATGACCCAATTAGATGTTAATCTTAAAGAAGCTGTTTTTGAATCTGAAAGACTAAACTAACAACCAATTAGATATTTACTAACAAGGAGACATGGGATACTTAAAGAACTGGGAAAGTGTGGCAATAAAAGTAAATAATAACAATAACCATAAGATTTTTGTCAATTATTATCTTCCTTTACTTGATACATACATTTAAAAAGCCATTCTTTAGAGTCTTTTGAAACCTATGCAAGCCATGTTGCTGTTAGCGTAAACAAAACGTGTTGCACATTGCTTGCACACTGTTGCACTTTTATCCACAACTTTCTTTCCGCCGCCATCGTAGGTCACTCTAAATGCAAAGCGCTCCCATACAGCAGACCTATAAAGTGCTGCTGGCG